CAGCCACCTACCTCAAAAGCACAAGGTCCTGAGTTCGATCCCTGGTACCAAAAAAAAAAAAAAGATGTGTTATGTACATGTACCAATTCACACAATGAAAGTAATTATGTACTGCAAATATGTATCAAAATTTTTTTGAAATTAAAAATATTTTTTCTACTACCTCTAAATGTTTTTTTACAAACTACACATTTCAAAAAGTTTTATTTAAATGGATATATCTAATGTTGACTTTAAATGTCATTTTCTTCCTTCCTTTTTTTTTTTTGGTATGAGGAATCAAACTCAGGACCTCACGCTTGCCAGGCAGGCATGGCGCCACTGAGCTAAATCCCCAGACCCCTAAATGTCATTTTCCTTTTTTTGTGGGGGGCTATCAGGAATAGAACTCATGACCTTGTAATTTGCAAGGCAGGCGCAGTGCCACTGAGCTACATCCCTGGCCCGTTATTTTCAATAGAATTTCTTGGCAGTTTCCATTTAATCATAGCATTTTTATGAAAAGTATTTTCCATTAAATATAGTTTTATGTAAATGAAACAGAAGAATACTTGAAAAGGGAGTAATTCTCTTGGCTTTTTTTGTGTGTGTGGTACCGGGAATTGAACTTGGGTCCTTGTGCATGCAAGGTAGGCACTGGAACAGCTGAGCCAAATCCCCAGACCTCTTCTTGCTTTTTGGCTGTTGATCCCACTAGCTCCTCTACATATGGTACAACTAGTGACTCTCTTTTAAGCAGTTTCTAAGTTTTTAAACAAGTCAGAGCTGTGTGGGAAATTTCAGTTCTATCCCCTCCACTAGACAATGCTCCATCATCTAAAATTACCCCTGGTCAGTGTCATTACGATTCATAGTTACCGTCCGCTTTAAAGGGCTTCCAACTTAGCCGGTTTTTTGCTTTTTTACAAATTTCATCCACTTGCGTCAATCTCAGGGCCTGGTCATTTCTCCTCATTAACTGTTGCTCAAATGCAATTCGGAACGCATCTGCCATGATGTAAGCTTCTTCTTTGCTCTTCTGCAAAAGTTCCAGCTGGTTTTAAAAGAAAGTTTGGGAGGCATGAGAGCTGAACCAAACCACTTTGCCTGAGGGCCGAGTCGATGAGCACGTGCGGCCTCCCCGCCCCGCGCTTGGCTGCTGCCTAGGCTTGGTCCGCTCCACTGCTTCAGCTCATCAGGAGCGGCAGCTCCAGCAGCCCACTCTGTCTCGGGTCACCAGCAGTTGTCCCCCTGCCTGCCGACAGCCTTCCTGTCTCCCTCCCAGACAGCCCGCACCTGCCCAGACCCCAGTGGGAATGGTCCAGCTAGAAAGGAGTGGACGCCTGAGGCTGCATGTCAGTTTGGGCTGGGGCCACTGCTGTCTGAGCTGTGTACTCTTACGCTTTTCTCAGTGAACTGCTAATATCTAGCTATTAGCTTTCCTGTGTGCCCTACAGGCTTCTGTACCTTCCAGGGAGGTAAACATGTTTAGAATCACGGGCCATGTACAGTACTGTATTTGTAATTAAAGCCCAACTATAATGGCAGCTGTCACTTGATTATATGCCTGGCATGTTCCTGGCACCTTGCGGAACATTACATTTATTTTCTGTGTTCTGACAAAAGCCATCTAAGACATTTAACACATGAGAAAACTAAGACGCTGCCTGATGCCACATAGCTGGCATGCAGATGTGAGGATATCAGCCTGGACCTAAAATATACACCTAGTCTGGTGGTGTAAAGATTCCTTGTGCTGCTTTTCAAATAAACTCCATGCTTAACTCCCCACCAATCAGGTTCATCCTAGTGATCGTAAGCATAAATACACTGTTTTCTTCTATTGTAATGTTTTGTTTTGGGTTTTTTGAGACAGTGTCTTGCTTTGTAGTTCAAGCTGGTCTTGAACTCACTGTGTAGCCCAGGCTGGCCTCAACCTAACAGTGATCCTCCTGCCTCAGCCTCCTCAGTGCTAAGATTACGGGTGTACATGCCCATGACAATGAGCTCTTCTGTTGTAATTTTTTTGTTGTTTTTTCTTTTTTGAGGCAGGGTCTTGATTTATAGTTCAGGCTGGCCTTGGTCTCACTAAGTAGCCCAGGCTGGCCTTGAACTCACAGTGATCCTCCTGCCTCAGCCTCCCAAGTGCTAGGATTACAGGTGTGCACCACAACACCCTGATCTTCTGTTATAATTTTAAGGTCGTACATAGTTGAGAAAAATATGAATTTAAGAAATACTAACTACAGGCTTAGGAAAATGACTTTATCTGGCTTCAAATATCATCCCAAGAACTATTTATGTTTAGGAACTAGGTAAACAAAATCTAGTTTGTAAGTTAATGCTCACATAAAACTAAGCCTAAGTCCCACAGCCAATGACAACTATGGTAATTACCATAGATACCTGTATGGATTCTACCATTAACAGGTGAACAGCCAAAACATCCACCATGGTGAGGATGTGATACCTCATGTTTGAGCTGAAGAACCAGTTTCCGAGCAGATGCCGCCGTTCTGGCACAGGGACAGGGACTCCCTCCAGGACCGTGGCAGAGGCAGGCTCCAAGCACTGCGAGCTGTGAAGCCAGAGTGTTATTTGCATCATGAAGTGCGCACAGCCTCAGGCCCCCCACACCCATGCACGTTACATCCACGTATGCTGCCCCAAGGAACTGGAAATCAAAAGCAGGAAGCCCACCCAGGATGATCATAACAGTTTTCTGAACTGTCTCTCACTTCAGTATTTTCCTCTTCCCCCAGTACTGGAGATTGAACTCAGAGCCTTTGCACTGAACTACATCCCCAGCCACCCTTGTATTTTTTGTTTTGAGGCAGTTTATTAACAGTTGCTTTTTTTGAGGCTCCTCAGCTCCTGACTGGTCAGCCTCCCAACTTGAAGCCACCAGCACTGCCCAGCAGCATAGCAGGTCTATTCTGAGCCTGGCTCCAGCAGGGCCGCCCTATCACTGTGGGGAAGTAACTGAGCTTAGCCAGCCTCTGCAAGCCTGCATTTGATAACACTTGCTTTGTGGCCTCTGCTGCTGTGAAGGTGAGATAAACAGTGTGTGTGAAAGTCTTCAGCAACTGTGAGCCCTTCCCAGGGGTGAGGCACTACTTGTCACTTTTGTCACAGCTGTAAAAGTGAGAAATGAATAGGTGGGAAGCAGCCAGCACATCCCCTGGAGTCCAAATGTGTCAGGCCTAGAGCAGGATGGGCCAACCTGGGCCAACCTCAGGTCTTTATCACCCCATTATGAGCATGGCGCTAGCACAGAACAGGTGCCAAGGGACAGGAAAGAAACCGTCCCTCCCAGCCATTGTGCTGGTGCATGCCTATAATCCTACACCTCTGGAAGGCTGAAGCAGGAGGACCCCAAGTTTGAGCCTCACCTGGGCAACATGGCAAGACCCAGTCTCAAAAAATAAAACAGGGGCTGGGGATTTAGCTCAGTGGTTCTTCGCAAGCACAAGGTTCAATCCCCATGCCAAATAAATACATAAATAAATAAATAAAATAGGCGAGGGAAGGAGGGGAGGGAAAGGGGAAATAAAAGATATGTCAATGGCCTCGACTCACCAATCAAGAGAAATAGACTGGCAAAATGGAATAAGAAGCAAAATCCAATAATATGTTGTATACAAGAAACACACCCCGTGCAAAAAGAAGCCCATAGACTGAAAGTGAAAAGATAGAAAACAATTCTCCATGTGACAGGAACCCAGAAAAAAACGGGTAGCAATCTTATTTGCAGGCAAAGTAAATTTCAAACCAAAACTGAATCTAGTACTATTGATATAGGACAGTACTGTATCATAACTCAATGAATGTAAAATATCTAGTACCTGCTTTATGATACATAGTAGGGACCATGCTTTATCAGAGCTACATTTAATGTTCTAGAATGTTCTCTTTCCAGATGATGATTAAGAGGCTAATAAAAAAATGGTGCCAGGTACCACAACAGCAACAGAACTTTGCTGTTGTCTGGATATTATTCTTTTCTTTGTTTTTTTTTT